AAGCTGCAAGATGTAAAAGTAATGAGATATTAGCTCAGATAACAGGTGTAAATTTCCTTTCATGATTGTTACCCCAACCTATCTCTCCCATCTTCCACAATAAAAGAGGATAAAAGAAAGATTCTTACATACCCTCCTGTCCACCTATGAAATGAAGCCAATTTAACAGAGCATGCTATTATTTGCTCAAAGATCCTTATCACATAGGTAATAATGGAAAACATTTTGTGGTGCTGTACCTCATGTGGAAGAAGTTTGTTTGCCAGTTTGTTTCCCAAACAACCACTGTCCAAGCAGTGTCTCTCTTCCATGCCACCTACAGCTGCCTTTATGCTGCTGTACCTCATGTGAAAGAGAGTTGCCCATTGCACAACCTTCATTTCACAAGCATTCATGGACTTCCACTTGGCTCAGCTCATTTTGCAGGACAGGACCAACCATGAGAGGAAGTCCATGAATGCTTGAGGCAGATTCCAGTAAATTTTGTCCCAACCATATATCCAGCAAATATTTGCCCACGGGATCCCATGAGTGCAACAATATCTTCTTCCCAACTTCCCCAGTAACTGGTGTTACATAAGAATCCTGAAGGTAGCATATAGAGACATCAGGACTAGAAGCCATTGATGGTTTTCTCCTTCATGACTTTGTCTAGTCCTGCCTTTAAAGTGATCAGAATTGGTGGCCATCACTACACATTGTAGAAATGAATTAGAGAGTTTAACTATACACTGAGTGAAGGAGCCAATCCTGGAGGAGTTGGCAACCCTAGTACAAAAGTGCACTGATGTACAATTTATGAGCACCCATGTTTTTTTAATCTATCTAGAAAGAAATATTAAACACCTTCAGATCTCTACACAACCATGTATATATTACAATAACCCATCCTGACAATAAGAGATAGTGGGCATTAGGACATGCTACATTAGGACATCGCTCAAGCGATGCTCAGGCCCACTGTGGGTTGTTGCTTTCTGTTGGTTCTCCAGCCAGTATGTCAAGAGACACCAAAACAGGACTGACTTATCTTCCCCTTCCTGCCATGACCGTGACCTATTTTTTGGGTTGCTGCCATTCTTTTCAGACAGGAAAAAAGCAGAGGTTACCATGAGTGTGTTCAGTCTTCTCCCAAAAGCAGGCCCAAGGAAAGAGAGCCATGCTCTCTTTGCAATCATTCCAGAGTGCAGGGCATGCAATAATGGGCTCAGGTTAAAGGAAGCCAGATTCTGGCTAGACATCTGGAAGAATATCCTGACTGTTACAGAGCAACAGGACAAGGAAATCAAATACCTAGGGAGGTTGTGGGTTCTCCCACATGGAGGCATGGAAGATAGAGCTGGACAGCTGGGTTCTTCTTATGGATCACTAACTGGTTCAAGAACAGAAGACAGATGGTGGGAATAAATGGCAATTTCTCCCAATGGAGACATGTCACCAGTGGAGTCCCACAGGGTTCTGTATTGGGACCAGGGAGACACTGGAACCAGCTGCCTAAAGAGGTGGTGGGCTCTCCCATACTAGAGACATTCAAAAAGAAACCAGACAGCCATCTGAGTGGGATGGTGTACCGTGGTGTCCTGCAGCAGCATGGGGTTGGACCTGTTAGCCTTCTTGGCCCCTTCCAACTCTTCTATTCTATGATTCTACTTTTCTCCCTTTCCCATAACACTCCACCCAGGGTCATCCCATGAAGGTGATTGGTGGGAAGTTTAGGACAGATAAAAGGAAACACTTCTCACAATGTATAGTTAAAATATGGAATTCGCAGCTACAAGAAGTGGTGATAGCCACCAAACTGGACAGCTTTAAATAGACATTGGACAGATGCATGAAGGAGGAGGCTATCAGTGGCTATTAGCCTTGTTAACATTTCTTTACCAGAGCCTGCATACACCAGTTGCTGAGGACCTTGGGCAGGAGGAGGTCTTGCACCCATCTTGCTTGAGGGATCTTGCAAGCAGCTGCTTTGCCACCATGTGCCTGGAGAGTTGGGCTGGACCTTGGTGATGATCCAGCATGGCTTTTCTTATATTCTTATGACAGCCATTTGTCAGGGGTACATTTACTTGGGTTCTGTACTGAGCAGGTGGTGGGATCCAATGCTCCCTTCCAGCTCTACTATTTTATAATTCTATGATTTGTTTGAGTGTAGAAGTGTACATATGATTGCATTATTAGCATTTTAAAAATTCTGTTCTTGGGAAATCCAGGCAGAACTCAGGAGATCTTGGTTCTAGTCCATCCTGACAGACTCTCAGCCCAACCTTTATCACATGGTTGTTAGGTAGATAAAATGAAGAGGAGAAGGAATTTATAAGCCACCTTGGTATCCTTGCAAGATGAAAACTATGGAAATATCATTTCCATTTTTTAAAAAGAGGTAAATAAACATTCAAAACCAAACTTACCCCAGAGTGCCATGAAAATTGAGAAAAAGACTGTGGCAGGGTTATCGAATAAGTGGCTGGCACGTGCTGTACCACAAGCACTACTAAGGTTCCAGTAGTCACATGTCTTGTCACAGAGAGGACACATGGTGAAGGCATTATGTTGGTCACACATCTCCTTACTATGAAGAGCAAAATTCAAAGACAAGATAGAAAAGTTATATGTAGGTGCTGATGCTACTTAGTTGCTTTCTGCTACTTAAAATTCACACAGCAAGTACAGAATTGGCCCAGGTGGTACCATATTTTCTGAAGATGGTGGTAAATTGTTTAAGCAGAGACTGCCACAATAACAGATGAAAAAGAATTAGATATGGATATGCACGCTGGTACAGTGTGGTAGGAATCATGCCAAAATTTTAAAAAGTTTCGAAGGTTTCAATCAAGGTTCTATGCAGGTGTTGAGTTCATATATATGATGCACAGAGACCGCAAATAAAAATGTGGGTGTTTTCATTCTTATTCATTTGAAACTTATTTAATTCACTTCTATATTGATATACTGTTCCAAGTGGCATACAAAGGATACAAACAGTAATATAAAGAACAATGAGCAGCAGCAGGAGCAATAGATAACTAAGGCCTTGTAAATTTGAATACAAAGTAAACTAGTACAATTTGATACAATTAAATTACAATCATGAAGTTGGAAAAAAAGCTCAAGCAAGGTAACAACATCACAAAAATCTAAGTCCCTCAATAAAACCTTTCTGTAGGCTTATTGCCAAATTCAGTTTAGAGGAAGACCTAAGAATGGAACCAGAACATAACAGCAAGAAGTAGGAGAAAGAAATCAGCTGGGGAAGGTCATTTAAACTTTTCCCTATCCCCCATTACTCTTGCTTTCTCAACCCTCCACCAACATTTTCTTCAACCATTGGTTTGCTGCAGTTTGAAGAAGAGTATCTTAAGTAGTATCATATAGAGTAGGTATGGCAGGCTGGTGAAAACTTAAGCACCCCTGTTTTGCACATTGTTTCTTCCTTCCAAAAATGCCCTTTCCCACCCCTATCATTTTCAAATATTCCCAGACTTGTCTCTCCAATAAGTATTTAGTTTTGCATTAAACTACTTGTAAATGTAGTCATTACTGTTACCCATGCGTTCACACACATGGGATCTGTGCCTGCACAAAACCTTGTTCTGAAAACTCCTGTAGCTGAGAAATTTTGGTGGGAAACCAGTAGTTTCAAATAAAGAACAAATATAGAAAATATAGCAGCAAAGAAAGTGGAATGATAGATAAGAGAGAAACAAATGGCATGTGGACAGCGCAGAAAGTTGACAACAATGAGAGATACTCCTAATGAGGCAACCACAATGACAGCTGAATGGGAACTGAAGGGAAAAGTGGAAACCTGCTATAGACATGTGTAAGGCAGCAGTGGGGGAAAGTTTTTTGCTGGAATTCCTCAACTAGGAAACTTTCCCCAAATGGAGAAGGACAACTACAGGTACAAAGCACGTCAATAAAGAAAATAGTGGAAGACTTTTTTACAAAGCTATACAAAGCTAAAGAAATATCAACTGAGGTGGTTTATGAATCCACCGAAACTGCCGGAAAATCTACCGAAACTGCCAGAGAAATATAAAAAAAATTAAATGAAGAAATAACAATGACAGAAGTAATCAAAGCAAATGAGACAAAAGAATGATAAAACCCCTGGCCTGGATGGACTACCAGTGAAGTATTATAAATGTTTTGAAGGAATTTTATGTACACCTCTGAAGGACATATGCTGTACTGTACTGTTAGATGCCAAAATACCGAATACTTGGATTGAGGCAAATATTACTTTAATTCCAAAAGAAGATATGGACTTGACATGATCCAGAACTGTAGATCTTTATCATTTCTAAATGTGGATTATGAAATTTTTGCTTCTGTAATGGCAGAAAGTTTGAAGAAATACCTAATAGACTTTATACATACAGATCAAAATGGTTATTTTACCTAAGAGACAAATTAGGAAAAACATGAGAATTATCTTGGACATCTTAGAATACTATGAAATGCATTCTGAAAATCAATGGCACTATTGTTTCTAGATGCACAGAAGGCCTTTGACAATGTTAACTGGCAATTCATGAAACAGCAATTAGAACAAATGGAATTTGGTGGAAAAATTATTAATGCAATATCAAGTATTTATCAAAAACAGACTGCCAGGATAATAATCAATTGGAGAATTTACAGACACTATAGACATTCAAAAGGGCACAGACAAGGATGCCCACTATCACCATTGTTATTTATATTGCTTCTAGAAGTTTTAAATGGAAATGTTAGAGAAGTTATGGATATTAAAGGTGCCAGAATCAGAGATAAAAGCTATGAACTTCAAGCATTTGCAGATTACTTATTCTTTATCTTAGAAGATCCTTTGGTAACGATGCCCTAATTCTTAAAAAAGATAGAAGATTATGGTGAAGTTACTGGGATGAAAATAAATAGGGAAAAGACTAAACTGTTCATTAAAAATCTTTCCTTGAACCAAAAAACAACTTTGATGGAGCAAGAAGACCTTCAAATAGTTAACAAGGTTTAATTTTTCTTACAGCTAGATGTGCTACATTGAAAGAAGACAACTATGTTAAACTATTTAAGGAGATTAAGAGTGATCTAGAAAAATGGGCTAACTTGCAATTATCACTGTTGAGAAGAATAGCAATAGTTAAAATGAATATATTACCAAAACATTTGTTCTTATTCCAAACAATTCCTATAAAAGTTGATTAAACATTTTTTGATGAATTAAATACTCAAATTCTGAGATTTATATGGCCAAAGAAAAAATCAAAGGATTAAGTTAAAAATGCTCCAGGAAGTCAAAGGGAATGGGGGCTTTGGCCTTCCTGATTGGTCGCTGTATTATCAAGCCTGTGTTTTAATGTGGTTAAAAGAATGGATAACTTTAAGAAATAAGAGAATTTTCTATCTTGAAGGACATGATTTACAAATGGGATGGCATGCTTTTATGTGGTATGAGAAATGTAAGACAAATGGTTACTTCTTAAATCATTATATTAGAAATTCATTGATGTTGGTCTGGGAAAAACTAAAGACAAAGCTTTATACTAAGTTGCCGAGGTGGCTTTCTCCTATGGAAACACTTACATATCCAAATGCACTGAACTTTAATATGATTGTGAGATATGATGATACCTTAGATAATGATGAAAAATTGAAACTGAATCAAGAACTACAGGAACAGGGTATTGATCTTTCTTGGTGACACAAGATACAAATACAATCGAGATATACTAAAGACGATAGAATGTATGGTTTTCATAAGGAACAAACAACATTTGATCAAATAATTTTATAATCAGATGAAAAAATGATTAAAAGATTGTATAATTTTCTTTTGGACATGAAAATGGAAGATGAACAAGTTAAGGAAACTATGATAACATGGCGTGACTGTGTCAGGAGAGGGATGCCAGCTAAAGCTGCCTCTTCCTTGATTTTCCATGAAGAGCAACACCAGAAGGACAGTGCACTCATCAGGTCTTTATTGCCTCTTTACACTTTCATCAGTTCACTTCCTGTAGCACCTTGGCCTGGCCTGCTCTGGCTCCCTTCCCTCCTGCTGTTATGGCAACAAACGCTCTCCGTTTGTGCTGGCTCGCCTGCCAGCGATTGCCCGCCCGCTCTCCACACATGTGTCCCACTTTCTCCCCTCTCTTCAGTCTCCCCTGCTCACTCCCTCTCTCCTCCTTTATCCACCCTCCTCCTGCACCACTCCACCCAACCAGCTGTTCCTGCCTCTGTCCGCAATCCCGTACAGCTGTGCGCTTGCACGTGTCTCCCGGCCATGGTCTTCTAGCGAGTTGCTCTCTCCCAGCTTTGCCCTGTTATTTTCTGCCCTGCTCTGTGGAAGGCCCCAGGAAAAGGGGTGAGCCCCCCTGCCTCCTCACATACCCCCCCTCCAAGAGGGGATCACCATCTCCATGTACGGGCCAGGGACCTTGGTGGGAAAAGAAATCAGCGTTAGCATGTTGATGACCCTGCCTATGCTTGACTGTAAATGCATATGGCTGTAACGCTAAATACCAACGGGGATTGTCATCCTTCATGCTATTCAACCACTGTAATGGGGTATGGTCAGTGACCAATGTGAAATGGGGCTCTTCAGAGATAATGTCTCAGTGCTAGAGTAGCCCATTTGACGACTAGTGCTTCCCTTTCTATTGTAGAGTACCGGCGCTCTCGAGGTTCCAGCTTACGGCTCGAGTAGAGTACCGGATGTTCAGCTGCCCTTTCTCCCTGGGTCAAAACTGCTCCCAAGCCCATGGTTGAGGTGTCGGTTTGGAGGATGAAAGGCCGGGAGAAATCTGGTGACCGTAAAACAGGCTGGCTGAGGAGACAGGTCCTCAGTTCTTCAAAAACTGGCTTTGCCTTTTCTTAAGCGTCTCTGTTAAGGGGGCCGCTTTGGAGGAGAAATGAGGGATGAATTGCCTATAGTAACTGGCCAGGCCCAGGAACTGTTGTACTTCTTTGTGCGCGGCCGTGGCCACTGGCTCAGCTTTTCCACCTTATCTGCCATAGGTTGTATCTGCCCGTGACCTACAATATACCCCAAATACTGCACCTCCTGTCACACTATTCTACACTTGCCTGGATTAGCCATCAACCCAGCCTGCCTTAGAGCCAATAAAACTTGCCGGAGGTGGTCTAGATGTTCCCCCCAGGTACGACTGAAAATGACAATGTCATCAATATATGCAGCCGCACAATGAGACAAATGCCTCAAGACTTTATCCATAAGCCACTGAAAGGTTGCGGCCACCCCATGTAATCCAAAGGGCATATATTTAAATTGAAACAACCCTACAGGGGTGGCAAAGGCTGTTTTTTCTTTGGATTCTTCCATCAATGGGATTTGCTAATACCCCTTAGTGAGATCTAGTGTCAAAAGGAAATGGGCCTGCCCCAGAGGATCCAGCAACCCATCTATTTGGGGCATGGGGTATGCATCAAACTTTGATACCTCATTTACCCTTCAAAAATCAATACAGAAATGGACATTTTTATCCTGCTTGGGAACCAAGACCAGCTGACTTCTCCAAGCACTCACTGATTCATCAATGACCCCTAACTGGAGCATCCATCTTACCT